AGTCTCCTGAGGGCTACCTTAATGACCTTCTCCTCCTAATCCCCTTGCCCAAAGTTCTACTGCCATCTGTGGGATTTGTTATCATTGTTATTTTTTAGTATTTATTTTTTTTTAGTTTTAGATGGACACAGTATGTTTATTTTACATTTATGTGGTGCTGAGGATCGAACCCAGTACCTCATGCATGCTAGGCAAGCGCTCTACCTCTGAGTCACTGCCCCAGCCCGAGATTTGTTATTATCATGGTTACTTCTTCTTCACATCCACTTTTCCCAAAAGAATGCTGCTTTGCTCTCTAATGTACCTGACACGCAGTAGGGACGCAGTGGTATCTGTTGAGGAAATGAAATGTCCAACAAGGCCCTTGCGTTCCTGGAAGCTGAAGGGGGAGGCAGACTCTGCTGAGCCAGGGGAGGGATGAAGGAGGAGCTGTGGACCCTTGAAATGGACGAGTCACAGAAAACACCATTTTTAAGGATGTGAGGCTCAAAGGAGACTTGGAGAAGGAGCCACTCCTCACTCTGACTCCCATCAGCCTCCTACGTCTCTCCCAGGTAAGGCCTTGGCCAGCAGGTCCAGTGGACCGACTCCACCTGCGGGAAGGTCAGGGACTATGGTACTCCCCAGGCCAAAGCAGGATSTCCTTGAGGAAGACACTGCCTCAGAGATTTTCCTAGAAACTCTAGGACAAATACACATTCGCTAAGAAATCTCTACAGTCGACATGGAAGCACTCACTGATTCATCTGGGGTGCGAGTGACGAGGTACTAGGAGGGGCAGCGGGGCTGTGGCACACACCTGTGTCCCAGCTGATGGGGAGGCGTGAGGAGCACTAGGGCCCAGGAGCTCACGGCCAGCCTGGGCCWCACAGCCAGAYCCCACCCACCCACACACACACACAGGAAAGGGAAAGAGATGGTGGGGAGTTGTATAAGAGTTAAATCTTCATCTACCATGGTGGCGAGGAGGTGGCGGGGCACAGATAAATTTCACAATTTGACTTTTTGAAAAGCAGTTCGAGGCAGCAATATGTAGAAAATACAAGACCCTGAGAAGAACCGCTGAAAGTTCAGAGGACGGTCCTGGACTCCCGAGTCTGCCATCAGACTTGCAGGGAATCCCACACAGGCTCTGTGTGAAGTCTGCGTAGGTGACAGCCTTTTGTACAGACAGCAGGTCCTGACCATAGTGGTAAGGCCCTGGCCTCACTCCAGCGAAAGATCACCAGAGCACTTCCCAGAGTGGCCTCATGTGACACAGGCTAGCTGGCCAAGGTCTATTGCAGGATCCAAAAATAACTGGAATCCTCTTCTCCGAGCCAACCTGTTGGAGGCCAGCTGTTCAGAACCTGTCTGCTAGCTGCCAGCTGATCTTATTCCCCCAAATAGAACGCACTCTACGAAGGACCTTGGGAGGGGTCACGGGTTCACGCCCTCCCCCCATCTCCCCAGGGGCTGCCCGAGGTCCTCCTTCCTTCAGGCAATGCTTCCTCCTCCTCCTCCTCCACTRCCTGCCCCCTGCCCCAGACCTCTGTGGGGGTCTTCTCACGCGTCCAAGCCTCCCCAGGCTGCCTTCTTCTCCAAGCCGGGTCACGTCTGACCTTTGGGAAACCCTACACATCTTTTCCACACTCTGGGCGGGCAGCTTGATCCCAGCGCAGCCCAGGTCCCTCGCTTTAGCCTTCCTGGGTGGGCAGGCGGCCCAAATTCTGTGCTGGGCGGTGGGTGGAGAGACAGGCAGCTGGAGGTGCAGAGGACCCCACCTCTCCCCAGAGACGCTCTTCCTTATCCTCGACAGACTGCTATTTCCTCGACAGTTTCTGCACATCCACCTCTGACCCCAACTTGGATCTCAGCATTCATTGTGTCTTTGTGTCTTGGTTCAAATGTCAGCGTCAACATCACGCCACATAATACCACCTTTATAACAATAATTAAAAAGGCATCGATGGCCTTGGAAAAATACAGCATCTGAGGAGAATTTTAACAAACGCTACCAAGGGACTCTGGACTCAGCCACACTCAGTTCCCTTGACGTCCTCCTGCTGAGGTCTGCTCTGTGCCCCGGCCCCAGGGGCTCAGAACATTAACGATTCTCAGCATCAGATACAAATAAATGAATAAAATAAAAGTCCACCAACAAAGAAAAATATATACAAAAGAATTCTTTTTAAAAAAGTGATGGACCTGACGCTGCAGAGCCTCTTGCAATCTCTGGTACAGCATGACCCTAAAAGCCCAACCCCTCGCCGTGGGAAGCTGGGATAGGGGGAGCAATCAGATGAAGAGGAGACTAAATAACATCCCTCACTTTTTTCTGTGTTAAATTACTGAAGCTTCCAGAGCCTCAATTTCATTGTCCATAAAGGGAAAATAACCCCCCACTTTGAAGTTTGATCCAGTGAGAATACATGCAAACATAGAAAGTGAATGGGAATGAATATTTATTTTGAACCTGCTGCAGTTCTTCCCGGGGTTTGATATCCTCATAATAAAGCACCCTCTCCGTATAGCCCTGCTTTCCCACTGGACCCAGCCATACGCACCGACCAAGGCCCTCCCGCCAGGGCCCGTGAGCTGGGCCTTTCCCGGCTGGCTTTGATGCTGCTGCTGTGACCCTGCTGGGCGTCGTGCCTGTGGGAACTGAGTCCTTAGTCCCTTAGTCCCTCGCGCCCCTGAGCCCTCTGCTGTTTCCCCAGCTCTGTTGCAGGTGTGTGGCTTCTCTACCTTTGCTTTGCTGTGGTCTGGAAACCCTGCCTTAAGACCAAGCACGCCTCTCTGGAGCCCTGCCTGCTCCTCTCTGCCTGAGTCTCTCCCGCTCCTATTCCTTTCCACTGGGAATCGTTTCACACTAGATCAACAAGCCACAACTGCGCTCTCGCTGCATCAAGTTAGACCATGCCAGCCCCCTTGGATCCCAGCCATTGCTGTGAACTAACACAGGCATTTTAGTTTAGGCTCTGGTCAGGCCAGAACCCGGATCCCCAAACCTGGGCCCTGACCATCTCACAGTGAGGCGGGTGCTGCTAGACAGAGCTGTGTGGACAGTCCCCACCTTCTCCTTCCCCACAGGCTGCTGAGGTCTCAGCCTCCCTGTGCCCAAGCCAAGTCCCTGGGGTCCAGATCCACTGCTTCTAGATCTTAAGTCTCCAGAGTTCCCAGGAATAGCGGGGTTCATTAGGAATGAAGGAGGTTTACCTTGGATTCCGCGAGGCTTAGTCATCTTCTTAATGGTGTCCATGTCCAAGGTGTTGAGGCGGATGTCCACCATGAAGTGGTGATACGGGATGAAGTCCCCACTTCTGCAGTGGTCGCACCTGTGGGCATTCTCCTCTAAAAAGCGGGCACACTTCAAATGCAAGGCCTTCTTCTGGTCCTTGAGCCAGAGCTCGTAGGCTGTCTTCTGCATTATAGGCCGGGAGAACCGAATGATGTGGCACTCAATCACCTCGCCCTCCAGTTCTCGGAGYTCCTCCTCCTCGCTGTGAGCTGGAGGGAACAGGAAGGGCGTGCCAGCCAGGCAGTGGGCAAGAGATAAGCCCGCTACCCAGCACAGATCAGCCCGTGAGTCTAGGCGCCTTTGGCCAAGGGGAAATATGGGTCACTTCAGGTGTGACTCACCCATCTCCTCGCTGGGTCTCAGAGACGAGGAGCGATGGTGAACCTCAAATGAGGTGGCATTTTGCTTCAGGGCCAGTCGAAGATCCTTGCCATTCCGGAAGCAGTAAAAAACGTTCAGCTCCACGAGGGTGGCCAGGGCCTTGATCATCATCTTCATGTTCCAGCAAGGGAGAACCTCAAACAGCAGCTCCGTGGTGAAGGTCAGGCCAATGATGGCAGCGCACCTCACCAACATCTGGTGGAAGAGGCTCATGCTGTCCAGCTGGACCAGAGAGATTTCTGCAGGGGAAAGCCACACACAGAAGAACACTAGTTACCCATCTGACTACCCACATCCTGGACAGGCCCTGTCCTGCTCTACAGCTCCTCTTGCAGACACCCAGCTAAGCTAAGTCTGGTTCGCAGCTCGCTCCTGTGCAGGAAGACACACTGCAGGGCTGGGCTGGGGCTCAGCAGCTGAGGGCTCGCCTCGCACATGTGGGGCCCTGGGTTCCATCCTCAGCACCACGTGAAAATGAATAAACGAAATAAAGGCATTTGTCCACCTGCAACTAGGACAAATTTAAAAGAGAAAATGCAGCTGCAGCTCTGAAGACACACAGGCGCAGAGTGAGGCTGCCTCCAGGGCTCTGACTTTGGGTCAAAGTGGGACAGGGATGTGTACAGACAGCAGGGGTCACGCAGGCCACGGCTGGCGCCCGCCATCCCTGCTCCTTGTGGACTTCTCCAGCTCGTCCCCTCTCTTCCCCACTGCTCTTCTCGTTCCTGGAACCTCCCAGCAACAGGCCTTCTCTCTGTCTGTCCCCGAGATCCATTCGCATGCATTTATTCCCTCCTCYGTATCAGGAGCAAGTGTCAGAGTTCAGAGTGCCGTGATCCCTGCTTCTCATGGAATCTCGTGGCTTACGAGGCTCCCTGGACGCTCCCTGGACGCTCCACCGGGATGTCCTTGGGTTAGAGATGAAAGGTCAACTCCTCAACTRTTCCCAGAACACACTAGAAGCTGAGCCAGTCCTCCTTCCCACAGCAGGAGACGCAGTAGTGAAGGACACACAAATGGCACCAACTGAAGACAGAGTTCCAAGRTCTGAAGTCACTCTGGATGGCATGCGTTGGGGCTGMGKGCMWACTAGAACATTTCTTGAAAGCCATTTTTCTTCCAAGCATAATTAATAATACCCCTGTGACATCCAGTGCCTTGTCATTCCTTTCTSACAAAAGTAGAYGGCAGAAGTGTCTCAATGCTAGACTTTTCCCTCTTATATTTGGTTTCTGTTTAACTGAAAATGTGCTGTACCTCATTCTCTTGTGCAGTTGAACAAACCTGTGCAAACCACACTCGCAACACATCACGGGAGGGAGGCTCCTAATCGGAAGTAGAAGAACCAGCCTGCCAGGGCGACACAGGACAGACAGGCCAGGGCGACGCAGGACAGACAGGCCAGGGCGACGCAGGACAGACAGGCCAGGGCGACGCAGGACAGACAGGCCAGGGCGACACAGGACAGACAGGCCAGGGCGACGCAGGACAGACAGGCCAGGGCAACGCAGGACAGACAGGCCAAGAGCCCTGGCCCCTCCCTCCTGGGGCAGGGGGGATCCCAGGGGAAGCGGAGGTGGAACCGGGAGAGAGCCGGCACCAGATGGAATGCCCCTTACCTTTCAGTGACGCGGGGAGCGACAGGTTTTTCAGTCTGACACCACTGACCAGGTTACAGACTTCTTCATTTCCCTCCTCATTTCTAAGAGAAAACCCTTTTAATTCCTCCGTTGGCTTGACGAAATTCTCTGTGGGGAGATGAGAAGGGAAGGAAGCCAAGAGTTAATATCCTGTCTGTAAAGTCTGGCTTTCCCATAAGCTCTGAGGTGGATCTTGTGTGAGAAAGAGCAGGAAGAGAGGAGCACCGCCTCACCAGATATTCTGGGATACCTGGTTTTAAAAAAACTGATTTATGAAAATTGAAATTTAATCAAAATGGTTTTGTTCTCCCCCGACAACTCCCACCCCAGAACAATAAATGGCACCGATATTGGTGTCTTCCCTAGTATGCACAGTTTGGTAAGAATGGAGTTCTTGGGGACTTAGGATCCCTCCCAGCACACACAATGACCTACATTAGTATGCACACTTGCAGTCCCACGCTCAGACACAGGCACACCCTGAGGGAGACCCAGCTCTGACTGGGGCATGACTGCAGCCAGAGATTTAAAACAGTGAGGTCTGGAAAGTGACCTTGCCGAGTAACTGGGTCTCGGGGTACCCCAACGTGCACCGCCTGCTCCTCCCCGTGGTTCTCCCACACTTGGCAGATTGGAGACACTGTGGTGGGGAGGGAAGACACCAGTGCAAGGCCCAGGCCGCATCTCCTGCAGAGGTGAGTCCCACGCCCACAGCAAGACAACCAGGTCGTGAAAGAGGGCCCCATGAGTGGCAGAAACAGCAAGTGGCAGACSATCTGACTCTTCAGTGTGCATGTGGACTTCAAATGCATCGTCTCCTGCAAGGGCTAAACATGAATGCTGCATGTGCGCAGCCCTTGAGGTGCTTAAGAGCTACGGGACACATAGGCAAGTGGTCACACCAGGAAGAGTGACTAAGAACTGAAGAGCAAAGACTAAGCCAGGTACTGAGGAGCACACTTGTATTCCCAGCAACCTGAGAGGCTGAGGCAGGAGGATCACAGACTTGAGGCCAGCCTCAGCAATTTAGCTAGACTCTCAGCAACTGAATGAGAGCCTGTTTCAAAACAGAAGAATAAAAAAAGGCTGAGGATGTGGCTCAGTGGTAAAGTATCCCTGGGTTCAATCCCCAGTGCCCTCCCCTCCCCCGAAAAAAGGCAAAAAAAAAAAAAAAAGGCAAGCAGAAGAGTGATGGTGGATAGGAGTAGGTAAGTGGGGGTAGAGTCACTGGAAAGCAAATGCTGAGCCCAGTGCCATTAACTCAGCTTGGGAAACGGGGTGGCGAAAGGACAGTGCGTTAAGTTTACAAGTGTYACCCCGGGGGTCCCTGGGAGAGCCAACGCACACCTGGCAATATACAGCACCTGGRATTAAGAGTGAGATTAGGGCTGGAGATCACACGCGCGCACATACATGCACGCACGCACGCACGCGCACGGGCACATCAAATCCAGCAAAATATGAATAAATGGAAACATGTGTGGGGGGGGAAGAAAGCAGGAGTGAGGGTGAAGCCCGGGACCCCACAGGAGGGTTTGCCCAGGAGAGGGGAGGGGCCCAGGAGGAGGGTGTGATGGGGAAGCCCAGGGAGGGGAGCACCTGAGAAGAGCCCCGCACGTCCGTGTGGGAGGCGAAGGGGACAGCAGGCGTGCTGCCCTGGGCTGCTCACACTCTCCCTGGGGACCCACTGCTAAAGCAGCMGCGCTCTGCCTCGCTCCATCCACGGTTACCCAGGGAGCCTCCAGGCACAAGGCACCCTTCCAGGATTGGGGACTCTGGAGTTTACAAGGCTCCTGCCTCACGTGGGRACAGACAGACCATAGCTAACAAGTTAACAGGACGCCTCATGGTGTGACTCGGTCCTGTAAACGGGAGGAGAGAGCGAGCGCTGGGCGCCTTGTACTCAGGGCCACCTGCTCCGCGCTGGGTTCCTGCACAGAGAGGTGCTTCGGGAAGGTGTGAACACATGCTGCACAGCCCGCGCCCTCTGCTCCCAGACACCTCACTCCGTATTTCCTGAGAACAGTGACACCTTTACAGAACTCAGTACACTTATAGCCTTTGGAAAAGGTGACATGGACCTGCAATCCTCTGTCCACCTGCCAGTTTGTCAACTAACCCCACAGTGTCTTTTAACATCTCKTTTTCTTCCAAAAAGAGATCCAGTCTCGGATCATGTATTCATTTCAGATTTTTAACTGAAGTGAAATTCAYGGAACCTACAACTAACCATCTTCAAAGGGTACACTTCAGGGCACTTGGCGCAATCACGATGTGCTGGCGCCCGCCATCCCTGCTCCTTGTGGACTTCTCCAGCTCGTCCCCTCTCTTCCCCACTGGCTCTTCTCGTTCCTGGAACCTCCCAGCAACAGGCCTTCTCTCTGTCTGTCCCCGAGATCCATTCGCATGCATTTATTCCCTCCTCTGTATCAGGAGCAAGCGTCAGAGTTCAGAGTGCCGTGATCCCTGCTTCTCATGGAATCTCGTGGCTTACGAGGCTCCCTGGACGCTCCACCGGGATGTCCTTGGGTTAGAGATGAAAGGTCAACTCCTCAAGTGTTCCCAAAACACAAGCTCCCTGGTCTCACAGAAGACGCTGAGAAGTTTTAAAGGGGGGAAACATTTGACTCATTTAATCTTTTAAACTTTTATTAGTGCATGTTAATCATACAGGATGCCGGGATTCACTGCGGTGTGTTCGTGCGTGCCCATCTCATACTTTGATCATTCTCGTCCTCTCTCCCCGTCCTCTCCTCTTCTCTATAATGTCTCCCTCTTACTCTCTCGCCGCTCCCCTTCCCCCACTCCACACAGAGGGAGCACAGGACACGGGTTCTTCTATCTGGTAAGTTGCACTGACTTACTCAGAGATTGCTTCTCTCCAGTCCTATCCATTTTCCTGCAAATGACGATTGTCCTCTGTGATACTCCAGTGTATGTATCTGCCACATTCTCTCCATCAGTGACAGACACCTAGTCTGATTTCACGACTTGGCTACTGTGATTTGTGCCATGATAAACATGGGTGCAGGTGTCTTTGGAGTATGCTGACCTCAATCCCTTTGGGGAACGACCCGGGATCATATGGTAGTCCTAATTTTAGATTTTTGAGAAATATTTATCCTGATTTCCGTAGTGGCTGTACCAGTTTACACTCCCACCAGCAGTGTGTAAGAGCTCCTGTGTTCCCCTACATCTTCAACAGCATTTATTGTTATGTGCCACTAAATTCAGCCCCAGAGGAAGACTCTGACCCTGCAGACTGAGTGGTGACCGAGTGGTTCAGGCCGTCAAATCACCATCGCTCATGGAGAGTCACAAAGATGAAAGATCCCCTTCCAGGGAGACAGAGAGGCGAGCTCTCTCCCTCTTCTCCTGCCACATACAACTCAAACACAAGAAGACACCCAGGAAGAGGGGGAGCAGACCAGCTGGGGACCTGGGGACCCAGGGAACTTCGTGGCGGAGAGCTCCTGGGTTTCTTCTGCCTCACACCTGCCAGACTGGGAGCTGCAGAATCCGGCAGCTCRGAAACTCCTCTCATAAAAGCCTCAAAGCGAGAGGAGCTTCAGGCCCCTCTCCAAACTGTATACTCAGCCCGCTCTCTGGCCCCTCCTCCTCTGGGCAAKGAGGTTGTTTTCCAGAGTTTCCCGCTGGCCTGGGTCATGCCATCCCTCGCTGCAGGCCCTGTGCGCAGCCTCCCTGAGCTAGCACTTCACCCGGGCACCGCCGAGCTCTTCAGGTCTGACCCTGGTGGCTGTCCCGGCTGTCCCAGGTGTGCGCTAGCTAGTTCAGGGGTCTGGCCTCTCTGTCCTCTTACAGTTTGGGTGTCAGATCCAAGGTTTCCTCCCCCCTCAAGCCCTCTGACCCTGCAGGAAGCAGCCTGTGGAAGGCCCATTCTCAACACTTTCTCCACGTAAGGACAGTGACAGAGGACGACTGAGTGCCCGGCGTTGTGGTGCACGCCTGTCACGCCAGCAACTCAGGAGCCCGAGGCAGAGATGGTGAGCTGAGGCAGCCTGGGCAACTTAGTGAGACCCTGCCTCAAAACAAAAAGCAAAGGGGCTGGAGATGTCGCTCAGTGGCCGAGCACCCCGGGCTCAACCCAGTACTGAAACAAGAGAAAGAGTCAGCGAGACTTACTGAACAGGTTGTTCCAGGTCACCTTGGTCTTCTCCTCAGGCTCCATCTGCTGGAAAACGAGCACCTGGTGGCGGTCCAGGTTCTTCAGCAGCTCCTCGCAGTAGTAGGGGATCCCGCAGCTGCCCTCCACCAGGTACCTGCTGTCAAGACAAGGCGGCGGCTCACACTGCAGAGCGCCTGCCGTCCCTCGAGACGACCCCCTTCCCATTCTCCATGTGCTCCAGTTTGCTCTCGAGTTTCAGGGGTTGCTTTCGGCTCGTTCTCTTTCTTTCTCTTTTTAAATTACATAAAACATTTTTATCTCCCCAAAGTTAAAACTAAATAAAAGGTACATCCTCAGTCTTGCTTCTCTTCCTTAGACACAGGTAACAATTGGATGCATTTTTGGTTTATCCTTCCAATACTTTTTCTAAAATATATAAACAAAAGTGTGCATGGGTGTACACACACACACACACACACWCWCACACACACACACAYAYACACACACACACCTATTCCACTTTTCTGAATAAAGGCATAGCACCAACCATGCATCCTGCTCCTCCCTGCTGATCACAGGTCTCCCTCACTTCTGTTTACTGCCCTACAGTCCTCCGGGATTCATGCATCCTAGTGTATTGGACTTAGCTCCCCTTGGAGATGGACATTGGATAGCTTCCASTCTCGTATTAATACAAATAGAGTTTGATAGAAACTTTGTACATATGTTACTTCATATTTGTGTCAACACATCTTTGAGATAGTCTCCTAGAACTGGGATTGCTGGATCAAAAGGAAAATGCAGATATGTAGACAGAGAGYGGGGAGGGGGAGAGAGASTCCAATGCCTGACCGGAGTTATTCTATTTTGAGCGCTGGGGACTGAACCTTAGGGTGCTCTATCACCTGAGCTGCATCCCCAGCCCTTTTCTTTTTGTTTCAGGATAGGGTTGGAGTTATTTTAAATGACCCCTTGTCCAAGCCATCTTCCTTCCAGGAGCAAGGCAACATCGTTAGAAAGAACAAAAGCAGAGAATAAATAGGAGGGTTGTCAGCAGCCAGCCCAGGAGAGACGCTGTTGTCTGGGTGGGACAGCACCTGCCTGCAATTCCAGCTACTGGACAGAGAGAAGCAGCTTAGCGAGACCGTCTCTAAATGAAATAGAAAGAGCCGGGATGCAGCTCAGTGTTGGAGTGCTTGGCGGGCGTACTCGAGACCCTGGGATCCATCCTGAGAGAGAGAACTAGTGCATGYTGTTAGGGGGCTCATCTCAAGGCCCCAGTGGAGGCAACCTGAGCAGCTCAGAGAGTCAGCCTGGACAGCTGCCACAGACAGACCACACACCTGCCGGCCGCAGCCTGCCTTTCCCACCACCTTCTGTGACTGTGCTCCTAGTGACTGTTATCATGGGTAGTCCACAGCAGGTAGACCCAAGTCCAGCTTGGTGCAGGGGAAACACCCGCTGAGCGGGGTGTGGAGCCCCACCAGGCACAGGATGCGGCCCCTCTAGAGGCAGGGCCAGAAAAACACTGGACAGGCATCTGCAGACACATCCTGGAGCGTCTGGTGACCTGCGGCAGCGGAAAGCGTGACTTACGTCTCCAGCTCTTTGGGGATGCTGCACACGTTGAGGTCCAGGCAGACCTTGTTGCGGATGTCGTTGGGCTGCATGGGCCCCAGGGTGATGTAGGTGGTGTTCCTGTTCTTCATGATGGCACTGGCTGCCGCACAGGGAAGGCCCACGAAGGGTGACAGGGACATGATGATAAAGATGGGGACCGTCCGGATGAGCTTCTCCATGAAGGTCCAGGAGGCCACGTCCACAAACTGAGCCTCATCGATGATGAAAATGATTCTTTCCTCCTTCACTGTCTGGACAAGGTGACAAAAGAGAAAGAAAAATGCTGCAGGACGTCAGGGCTTTGTGCTCTGCGGCAGGCGGCGTCTCCGTGGAGTCTGATGGTCCGTTACGGTGAAGGGAAAGAACCAAGCCGAATCTTTGTCTTTTCAATAACTCTGCATTAATCTGAATTTCAACAGCTTACAATTCATATCAGTTACGACCAGTGGACTCTTATTTGGGCAAACCCGGGTATGATGATGATGGGACGGAAGGAAGTCAGGCAGCAGGAGAGGCGAGCCCCAGGAGTGGGCTTGAGGGACTCCTGAGTCTATTTAAATTCTGAATTGATGCTGAGCTCAAGGCTGGAAGACTGGAAGAGAGGGAAGCACTTTGGGTCCAGCTTTAGCGTACTTCCAAATGTTTCCTGGAGCCAGAGCCCCTTGGGCAGGTGGCCAGTGGCTGACACACAGGTGCTCTTACCTGTTCCAAGATCTTCATGAACAGTGCTTCCAACTGCTTCTGCTTTTTCAARGTGCTCATCTTGGAAATCTCCCGAGAAATAGGGAACTGTATGAAAAATTATGAGAACACTGAGTGCAGGAAACAGTGAAGGAACTTCCAGCTGTGTGACCCTGGGCGAACCACTGAGCTGCCTGTGCCTCGAGGGAGATCCTCCTTGGATCGTCWTGTCTTTTCAGCCCTGATTGCCTGTCCTTGAGCCAAGGGAAGAACAGAACACACCCAGTGTTTGCRTGGGCAGTCAGTTGTGGGAGAAAGTGACCCTGTGCTCAGGCTGGAGAGGAAAGAAAAACACCCAACAGGTGGCCAACAGGTGGCCATGAGCCAGGCGCACTGGCACACACCTGTGATCCCAGCTACTCAGGAGGCTGAGGCAGGASGATCAGGAGTTCAAGGCCAACCTGGGCAACTTGGTGAGACCCTGTCTCAAAATAAAATGTAGAGATTTTAAAAGAGGCCAGTGAGGTAGCTTTGTGGCAGAGCACCCCTGGGTTCAAGTTCCAGTACCACACACAAACCAACCAACAAAACCGGGGGCCGTTTGGGACTTCTTGAGTGTGGTATTTCCAGATACCCCCAGAAAGTCTTCTGAAGGTGGATGTAGGGGCTGGGCTGTAGCTCGCGGTAGAGCTGTGCATACATAGTGTGTGCAAAGCCCTGGCTTCAGACCTCAAGACCTTGGTACTGTTAAGACAAGAGCATGGTGGACTTTCAGGAAGGATTGGGAGCTACTTCTTCACCACCTGGTGCTCTAGCGAGACAAGGGTAATAAAGCCAAGGAGATGTCAATCATGAAGCCTCAAGGAGTGGCTGTGCTTGCCCTGTGGCCCTTCCCTGCAGAGCCCAGTCCTAGCRGGTACCTGGACGTGGAAGATGTCGTTGAGGAGACAGTGGAACTTCTCGTCCAGCAGCCTCCTGACTCTGCTTTGAAGGTTGGTCTGCCGCTCCTTGTAGTGTCTGCAAGTGTCCAGACCCAGCACGTTGGCCATGAGTATCTGGATGGTGTAAAAGTTCTGATGGAAGCTGATCTTAGTCAACGCGATAGCAATGGTTCTGTTCATGAGAAACCAAGAGTCAGAAGAGAGTTTGGCTTACAGTTTTCAGAAACACCGAAGTGACGAGGAGCTCTGACTCCTCTGGTTCAGCMGCGACAGACAGACTCTCCAAGCTCCGTGGCAGCGGCTGCTTTCTGCTGCCGACGTTCCTCTTCCACTGTGCACCCAGCTCCCGCCACCTGGCCCGGCTGTCCCTGCCCCTGCCCCATGGATCTGACAGAGGTGCCCCACAGGAGCCTGAGGGAGCTGGCTGGTTGCCCACTGGGCTGAAGGTGTTGCTCCGTGGAGGAGCTTATTTCGGCACAGGGCCCTGGCCTGAGCCCAGTCCTGGGAGGGGCAGCCGACCCGGAGCTGTTCATGGTTCCCACTGCCTAAAGGCCTGCGTCCACGCTCCCTTCTGTGACGGGAGACTTCCCGAGGTCTCACTGTCAGCCCTGCTCCCTGCCTAGTGACCTCCCTTCACTGCCAGCAAGCGGATGCATCCTCGCCCGCCACCTTTGCTGAGGTCATCCGTGCATCCTGAGTGTCCCTGGTGTTGCTGGTGGCCCCACGTGGCCCCTCTTGGCTGTTCATCTGTTAGTCCTCTCAGGCTGCTCCTGGAGACCCTCCTTGCTGCCCAAGGCTGCGTCACATTCCCTTCTCCCTGAGGGCAGGGATCAGGTATTGCTCGGGATCACTGACCCGTCCCCCCAAGTCCTTGTGCTGAAGTCATGGCCCCAGGGATCTCTCATTTGAGAACAGGAAGGTTAGAGAGGGATTAGTTAAGATGAGACCTTATTAGAGATGGCTGGGTCCCCAAACCTCCTTGTCTGGTGTCCTTATGAAAAGGGGAAATTTGGATACAGAGACTACAGGGAGGCTGCCAGTGCAGACCGAGGCAGATGTCTGGGTAACGCTTCCACAAGCCAAATAGCATCAGACGGGGCGGCAAGCTGCCAGAAGCCAGGAGAGAGGCCTGGGAGAGGTCTTCTTCCTCGACCCGGGAGGGAGCAGCTCAGCTGCTGCCTGGACCCTTGGCTGGGCCCCCAGAACTGTGAGACCGGCTTCCCTGTTGTCCAGCCRCCCCGTCTGTGGTTCTCTGGTGACCTGCACAGCCCTCAGTGGTCCCGGACCCTGTGGGACTTGGTAAGTGCCCACGTGAAGGAACGCCTCCCCCCTGCTGTGGGTCAGCCCTGGCAGAGGGCAGCGTTTTGAAACGGGCTTTTCTCAGGCCTGACATTGAGGAGTGATAGAAAGACAGGGGTCAGCAAGTAGTTTCCCCTTCACCCCTTAGAGGGAAAAGCTGTGTGAGACACCATAGTCATCCTTGTGGCCATCATTACTGTCACTTCTGCAAGGGGCCAGGCAGACTGTCCCAGAAAGGGCCTTCCACACCCGACACATGAGGATAGAGGAACAGTGTAAGGTATTTATGTCAGCTTCGCCTTCCAGAGCAAGTCCCCAGGACGGTCACTGTTCCACTCACAGGGTGACAAACTTGTGTGTGTTCTGCTGGCGAAATCTAGCCCTGATCACAATGTCTATGCTAGTGGTCCTCAACCTGTGGGCATGTTGGATTATTTAGGAAGTTTAAAATACCCAAGCCCCACCTGGCTTCAAATCAGGATTTCCAGCAACCAGACCAGAAAGTYGCTCTTTTCCTTAGTTCAAAATATTTATCAGGGCTGGGGATGTGGCTGGGTGGTAGAGCACTTCCCTAGCATGCATGAAGCCCTGGGTAAAATTCTCAGCACCACCAAAACAAAAAGAATTAATCTTGTTAATTCATCATCAAATTTGGCACAGGGTCATATCACCCCAAAATACTCATCATCATCTATTTGGTGCAGGGTCATATCTCCCCAAAACTACAGAAATGCCAAGTAAATGGAGCTGCTCTAAGGGGCAGGACCTCTGACAAGGAGAGAGAATTCCCAGGACTCACCTGTGGTTCTCACCTTGAGCCAGGTACTCAATTTCCATAAGTATCTGGCTTTTTCCATATCCAAATAATCCTTCGTACATTAGGATTCGGCTGCAGTTAGACATCAAGAATTCCTTCATGGTACGCATAAAGTATCTGATCTCTTTATCACGCCCTATTGTTTTTATTTATTTTTTTTAAAAAAGAGGAGCAAAATCAGCAACACAAAGAAGTCCAGATATTTAAAAAAGCACAGAGGGACACCCCTTCTAAGACTATCCTAGGAATTTACATGGCATGGTTCAGACTTTACTGAGGCCCTGAAAACTTTTTAAAATCTTTCTCGAGAATTTTCCAGTTAACAAGGTGATTTTGCAGTTGTATTTTAGTACCACAGTTGTAAAAGAAAGTTGATTTTTTTTTTCCTGTGCTGGGGATGGAACCCCAGAGCCTCTTGCACGCTAGGCAAGAGCTTTGRAACTGAGCTACAAGCCAGCCCCCAGTAAAAGTATTATTTTAAACTAATTATAATTCCATTTAATTTGCTCATACTAAATGGAATTAAACCAAGTCTATTAATACTAAAGCTTGCTTTTTCTTTCTACATCACACTAGTAGTAAACTATAGATTTATTGAGATTAGAGCTCTAATACTGAACAAATATAGAGAAAACAGTTTTATTTCCAGTTCTGTGATGAAGGAAATCTTCCCTCATAAATGCAAACCACATTGTCTCAGGGCTGCTAAGAAGCGTTATTAGGGTTAAGAAAGTCCAATTCACCTCCAGAAATCATATACRTTATTATTACCATAAGGGCAACCTAAATTATTTTTAAAAGTAAAAAATTTTTTTCCTGATTATAAAACACTTGCTCACTGTGGAAAATATGGGAMACTCAGGAGAAGGAAAAAAGAGCAAAATAAAAATCACGTTGGGTTCCAACCCAGTCACTGTTATTTTTCTTGTGTTTTTAAATACAAGCTCAGCTCACAGCCCTTGAAACTTGGGTGGTAGGAGAGAGGCAAAAGTACCATGATTTCAAAACATGGAGCATTTCTGTCAAGAGACTGAGGGACAAGATGGGTGCCGGGGAGCACCTTAATCCCRGCAGCTTGGGAGGCTAACGCAGGACGATGTTTGTGAGGTCCTAAGCTACGTAGCAAGACCCTGTCTCTAAATAAAAAATTTAAAAGCCTGGAGATGGGGCTGGGGATGTGGCTCAAGCGGTAGCGCGCTCGCCTGGCATGCGTGCGGCCCGGGTTCCATCCTCAGCACCACATACCAACAAAGATGTTGTGTCCGCCAAAAACTAATAAATAAATATTAAAAATTCTCTCTCAAAAAAAAAAGCCTGGAGATGCAGGTCAGTGGGTAAGTGCCCCTGGGTTCAGTCCCCAGCACCAATCAAGACAAACAGAAGAAATACTTGGGGACTAAGGGCCAACTATCACTTCTTTGTGGGACAGAAGATTGTGGAGGACCCATCTGTAATTCATGGATAAAGACTCAGATATTATCCAGTATCTGTGGAAAACCAGGACCATTAATCCAAGCATAGACATTTTAGGAAAAGCAGCTGTGTGCTTTACTTGGTAATGTAAGTATCTGGATATAGATTAGCAAGAACCACTCTGCACACCGTATGGCTGTGTGTGTGTGTGTGTGTGTGTGTGTGTGTGTGTGTGTGGTTCTGAGGATGGAACCGAGGGGTGCTCTACCACTGAGATCATTCCTAGCTCTTTTTATTTTTTTTTTATTTTGAGATAGGGTCTCGTTAAGTTGCTAAGGACCTCACTAACTTGCCAAGACTGGCCTCAAACTTGCAATCCTCCTGCCTCAGCCTCCCTAGTTGCTGGGATTATAGATAAAAACCACATCTGGCTCATCTATCTATCTATATCTATATCTATCTATCTATATATATTTATAATGCTTTATTTATTTATTTTTATATATATTTTAAAAGACACAGGTTCTTGCTGTGTTGTCCAGGCTGGCCCTGCACACCTGGACTCAAGCCATCCTCCCATCCTCTTGCCTCAGCCTCCCAAGAAACTGGGAGCCCAGGCACACGCCAACACACTAGGCTTATGTAACATTTTAAAATAGGTATAAGTAATCCTGGGTGTTAGAAGTCCGTGGGGAAGGAAGTGGGAGAGCGTATGTGAGTGTTCCTGGAGTATTGCTACTTGTCTCTTTCTTGGCTTGGAGTATGGTTCTATTCTCATTTTGTGATAATAAGCTGCAGGCTCTTATGGATGCACTATTCTGGATGTCCTGTGGTTTCGGGCTGGGTGTCAGTCAGTGGTGGAGTGCTTGTCTAGCATGCACAAGGCCTTGGCTTCGTCCCCAGCCCTGCAAAAAAAAAAAAAAGTTTTTTTTTCAAGTCAAGTCTTACTACCTACCCAGCAAAGGGTAGCCCTCATTTCTGTTGCAGATGAGGTATGCCATCCCAAACATGCTGAAGGAAAGAAAAGAGGTCAGATTTAAGATGGGGAAGATGAGGGCCAGAGCGCCTGGCTCTAGTCCCCAGGAGTCTCCCTTTCCATCTCCAGCAAGAGTCTGTCCCTGAATCCAGGGACCCTGGGCCGCAGGAGGGGAGAGGAGCTCCACTTGGTGATAGAGGCCCACAGTCCTGCGCATGCTCAATGAATGTCTGCTGCGTCTGCTCTGGTAGSGGGGCCCTGGGCAGACCAGACATCCAACAGGGACCCGAGAGTCCTGGCCCTGGGAGAGGCCACCCACACTCACACTTTCTCATTCAGGCCCAAGCACTGATAGACGGGCCCAGAATCGCCAACACCTTTCATCGCTTTCTTTGGAAGCTCTTTAAAAAAGTAGGCTGGTAGGTTGCTGCCGTTGTAGGTGACAGAGTCACAGGTCACGATTCCCGGGTAGTACATCATCATCCTGGCGGCTATGTTGACTTTTTGACCAATGACTACAACAGGAAGGAGAGAGTCAAAGAGCAGGGGAAAAAAAAAAACAGCCCTTGAACTGAATGTCATTTGAGGGTCATCCCAAGGGCATTCACCTGTCACCTCCCTTGCTACTCATGAGTGACACAAGCATTTGGCCTTCTAGTATCCAGTCAGTCAACAGCTACAAGCTCATGGCCCACATGGACCTCACTTAGCCAGCAGCGAAGCGATTCCTCACTTGGGAGGCCCAGAGGACACTGCTGGGGTGGGGGACCAGGGACACGGGGAGGCTCTGCCAGCTGGGTGCCAGGCCTGACCGCTCCCCCATGGGCTCTAGCTGGCCTCTGCCACCGTGGGAAGAGCACGCAATGGGATTGAACTAAACCAGGCACAGACCACGTGTGCGCCGTGTGGACCTGAGTCGGTGGCTTCTGAAGTCAACGGGGTTGGAAGCAGGGTGCATGGAGGACGGGCAGAGGGACCCTTGAGCGGGGACGCCCTGCAGTGCCTCTAACTACCACGCACAGGTACTTGGGCTTCAGCTTCCTGTCCACCAGACGGGATGACACTATGACTGTCTCAGAGGGTGGATCGTGGAGATTAATGAGTCAGGGACGGGGCCGCAGCTCGGTGGTAGGGCTCTCGCCTGCCACAAGCAAGGCCCTGGATTTGATCCCCAGCACCAAAAAAACAAAAAAAAAAAAACCAGTTAATATATGCTCACATCTTTGGGTGGTGCCTGGCTGCTTGTAAGCACTTATTTAATATTACTAAATGAGCATTAGATATTTCATTTTAACATGAACATTCCTTTCTTGTATTTTGTTTTGTTTTTTTCTGGTGCTGGGGACCAAAGACAGGGCCTCACACGTGCCAGGCAAACTCAGTACTACTGAGTTACACCCCAGCCAGGTCATCCTTTTATAAACCTTGTCAAATAAAAATTATAGGAGGCCATTGTTTTGGACTAAGCTCTTGCACTGGGCCCCCAGAAACCAGAGTAAAACTCAAAACATACTCCCCCATGCCAAAGCTCCCTGTACTCCCACCAGCCGCCGTCTGGACTTGAGGGAAATCAGGAGCAGGAAACGCTCGTTCCCCAATGGGCCAGCCCCAGTGGCAAGCCGCTGAGGCTCCCCGCCTTCGTCCCTCGGCCGGAGCTGACCTGAAGCTGACCAGTCAGGCACTTCCCCATTGTCCCCCGTCCTGCCTTCCCAGGACACCACCCAGGGACCAATCTGCTTTTTGCTCTGTGTCTGCTGTCTCCCGCCTGCTCTGCCCTTCAGGACGCACTCTGTTTTACAGAACGAAGCCTTGCCCCATCCCGTATGATCTCTGAACTGGTCTGCCCTTTGACACACTCTGTGGTGGGGAGCTTCACCTCGCATTCAAGCCCAGGTCAACAATGCCCGCGGCCCACCCTGCCCCACCCTCRCCTCTCCACTGCCCACCGAGGACTACTTTGAAGGAAATCTTATGGTGTCACTTTGGACACAGGTGTCCAGCATTTGAGATGCCTGATTGCTGAACCTCGAGGGAGGAAGGGGAGTAGGGATCTCAGCTACCCGTCCCTACCCTTCCATGAAGGTGGTGTTGTTTTCAGAAGTGCCGACGGTCATCATTTTAAGAAGGGGTCCTGAGCTACTCCAAGAGCAAGGGCATTATTACAAAAGCCCCACTCCATGGGTAGGGCCTCCGGCTCCTCCCTCCAGCGCCTGGTCCCACACAGAGCTCTCAGGGACAGTGCTCCTGCTGGGCTCCCTGCTGCTCTGCGGGCTGCTGGGGCTCACCCGTGTACTCGTGCCTCACGGTGTGCCCCACGATGCCACAGAAGACGATCCCACTGGCAACGCCGATGGACACGGTGCTGGCGTGGTGGGGGAGGGATAGATAATGAGCACTTCCAGAATGACAGGAGCAAAGAGGCCTGGGACGGGGATGGTGAAGGGGGACCCAGCGGTGGTTCTCCCAGGCGGGATCCGTGTAGGGCAACTGCACGTGGCCTGGAGAGGAGCAGGAGGGACGAGGCCCAGAACTGGGCCCTGAATTCTTTTCCTCCTCCTTCTCTGTCCTGGGCCCCACCCCATATCTTTTGTGTGTGTGGTGCTGGGGATTGAACCCAGGGCCTGGTGCAGGCGGGGCAGCACTCCACCGACTGGCTGTATTCCCAGCACCCCCAGATATTTTCAAAGGGTCAGGGGCCCCGGGTGGGTCAGGGTCAACACTCACTGGATCTTGTGGACCTGAGAGCAGAAGTCGAATATATCCACAGCACTCTCCAAGGCGTGGGAGAACTCGTCAGGGGCCTTCTCCCCGGGGAAGCCAAAGACGCAGAGGAAGGAGCAGCCCTGCGGGGGAGTCAGCCAGGCCAGTGGCACTGGACTCCCAGCCCCGGAGCCACTTCCAGTGTCTGAGTGGGACTTCCTCTAGTGCCCGTCCCTTTGGGCACCCCCTCCTGTCTGCTCTCCTGTAGCCCACGTCTTACGCCATGGGCTCTGAGTTAGTCAGAGGGCACAGAGCAGAAGGCGCCAGGTTGGCAACTAGGAATTCTGCACTCTGCCTGTCTCCGGTGGAGACCATCCTGTGGGCAGCACGGYCAGACCCTTCTCAATCACTCAATCAATCAACAACGAAAGAGGAGCAGCAGGTAATGAGCCCAGGCTCAGAGATGCCCAGTGACTCGCTGGGGTCACCCYGTACCCTGGGAGCCTGGCCTGAGAGACCTCAGACTGCTCTCTGGGACCCTGGGCTCTTGGGCCCTCCTGAGGGGACGGACGGTGAAGTGGGGCCTTGGAATTCCTGCAGCTCTCACAGTCCATGGCCCCGCCCAGCTGAGCTGGCAGAGGGCGCTCAGTGGCTGCAGCCTCTGTGAAATGCCACTGAGTGCCTGCTGGAGGAGCCAGCAGAGGAGGGGCCCAGGGAGTCAGTTCTCACCACCACTTCTCAGGTCACTCGCCCCTCACAGGACAGACCCAAGACCCGACTGAGAACAGTGAGAGGCACTTGAGAGCCGGAGATGAGCCACAGATGCAAACGCTGACGTGGCAGGCGGCCCTGATGTGGCAGGTGGGTCCCTGATGTGGCAGGTGGGGCCCTGATGTGGCAGGTGGACCCTGATGTGGCAGGTGGGGCCCCTGATGTGGCAGGTGGGGTCCCTGATGTGGCAGGTGGGCCCCTGATGTGGCAGGTGGGGTCCTGATGTGGCAGGTGGGGTCCCTGATGTGGCAGGTGGGGTCCCTGATGTGGCAGGTGGG